CAGCACCAGCACCACCACCAGCACCTCCCCAGCACCACACGCAGTACCAGCAGCGCCACCACCAACCACAACAAAAATCATCAAAGCCCCACCACGACATCCGTTTCCTGCTGCTACGATTTGAACCTTCCCAGGCAGCTCGTGGCACTTTGTTCTTGATGTGGGCAAGTATGTTGCCGGCATGATGTACGGCTTGTCACGCGGCAAGATGTTGGCCTGTTGTGGAGTTCATGCTCAGGGCGAAAGGGCTGTGAATAGATGTTTATGTCTTTGCCTCGGTGGATGTGTCAGACTCTCTTTTGGTTTGGGTGCTTTGAGTGGGCACCACAGAAGTCTGAGGCATTTGCTCACATGCCTCTGGTACTGGGTGGGAAACGTGCCGGATGGCTGGGTGCAGGAGCAAGAGTTGCGTCTTGGTCCTGCATATTTTTCGCAGAGGGGGAGTCGATAGGAGTGTTGGGTTTAAGGGTTGGCATTCACCATGTGTCTGCAATGTAGCATCTTGTCTTGGTGTCCGACACTCGCGTTTCATGATGGGAGCGCCTAAGTACGTCGGGACCACTTGAGATTGAACCACCTTTTGAGGCTCCATGCCTCTGCCAGCTTGGACATCTGAGGAGTGCACAGTCCTTGTCATCGACGTATTTCTCATCTTTGACTTTGACATTGTCCAGGCTACCAGCATCATCGATGAGATGGAACATGACTCTGCAGACAGGACCGGGCTGTTGTGGATTGGGGTTTACGGGTAGGTTGGGAGGCTTAGGACAGAACGTAACGATCGATAGCACACCAGATTATGAGATACCATCTCTTTAGCAAGCCCCGGACATCAATATCCTCCGATGTTACTACAGGATCAGCCGTTGCGCTTCGGCGCCCTCCCATATCCCCCTTCGATATCCCTGATCAGATCTCGCAGGCTTGCAGGTGTGGTATTCAGAGGTGGGTCAGCACTTCACTTCAGAGTAAGTAAAAATAAGTAAAACGCAACCATATGGTACACACTTTGGCATACTTTGGCCATAAAGCCATTAGAAAGGAACCCCTCGAATGCAATATTATATGTAGGTACACGGTACCTGAAGCGAAGCGAGCGGCATGCAGAAGCTGTCAAATATGAAGCCGTCCCAGATGGCGAACGAACATTGGCCATCGTGGCCACCTTCATGGCCTTGGGAATGTCATCGGTTTGCATCAGCAAGGTGACCAATGTGATGTCAAGGTGGCAGAGTATGAGACATCAGAAACATCAGATTGTTGAGTCCTTGCGGAGTTATTGTGCGTCCCATGGAGTCGATGCATCGCACATCCTGAGCATGAAGAAGTACGCGGAGCGGGAGCTTTCACGGAAGGCTGCGAATGAGGCGCATGCCAACTTGCTGCAGACATTTTCCAGCAGTATGCTGAAAAGCCTTCTCCACCAGGCACGCCGTTCTTTCTTGCGCTATCACAAGGAGTTTACAAGTTGGTGTGCCAAGTCGGAGATTTTGGAGTACTGTATATGCAACAAAGCCATGACAGAGCATTACGAAATGCGGCATGACTGCATCTTTATGCCGTCAGACTACGCGGAAGGCATGTATTTGATGGCCACGGCATCCGAGTCGCGGTTGAGCAGCTTTTGAGGAAAAGGGTTTCTAAGGGCTTTTCTTTCTGTCACCTCTGGTGGTAGCTTCCCTAATCCCTAACACAATCAAAGAGTGTATTTAGCAATGGGCTGGATGTTACTTTTTTTGCGGTAGTACGAACAGTAATACTAATAATAAGATTCAGAATATCAATAAAGACAGTAAAACTGATACTACTACTAATAATATAATAACAAATATCATCACTGTTCTGCTGCTACTACTACTACT